TGAGAAGCCAAAAATTATTAACGTTTCCCTTTGTTTCATAGATTACTTTTGAACAGGCGTTTGCTATTGTCAGCTTCATCCTGGAGATCCCTTCAGCTATATTTGATCAGCTTTCCTCTGAGCCTAAATCTCGGTATGCGCTGATATTAATGTTCCTATCATTTGTATCCCTTTTTCTTTGCATGGTCGAGCTTTTCCACAAACGAATAACGGGAAGAGTTACATGGAGCTTCTGGGATAAGGTTGGATTGATATGTGCCGTGGTTCAGCCCATCCTTTCAACAGTTAATTATGCTTTGGTTCGTCAACAGAGGGGCCAGGTCCAGATATCTGTGTTGCCTCTCGGTTTTGCCCTTGCTCTATCATGCTCCGAGATTTGGGAAAGTCCAAATATGACAGGGAGTGAGGGAAACATTGATGAGGAAGAACAAGTTAGCCTCATTGATCGGAGACAGCGAGTGACTGAAGTGTCCCCAAACATGACAGGGAGTGAGGGAAACATTGATGAGGAAGAACAAGTTGGCCTCACTGATCGGAGACAGGGAGTGACTGAAGTGTCCCCAAAGAAAGAGAGTGAACCAACTGCCAGTGAAGAAGGGAAAAGTGGCCTCACGAATCAAAGTCAGATCGGAGTGAATAAAAAGGAGTTCCCAGAGACAATGGATAGATGGGGATTCTTGTCCAATAAGAATTTTACCTCCCGGCGTAATATTATCACTGGTATTCATAGAGCAATTCTGCGTATGCAGGAGAAGGCTGAAGTACTTCAGCGTACGAAGGAGAAGGCTGAAGTACAACGGAAGTTAATGGGTGGAATCAAGATGACTCCGAACATAGACAAAGAGTCTGTAAGGAGGAAAGAGAAAGAACTTACGCGAGAGGCAACAACAAGAAAGACGGATACCATGCTCAGAAGAAGAGGGAAAAGTGGGCAGCCGTGATTGGATTGATGATAATCAAATCAGATAAGATATCCCAGCACAGCGGGGTCACCCCTCACGTGCGAAATTATATTTTCCAATGAATTTACATCTTTTATTAATGGAAATTTTTTGATGTAGTGAGCTCTGACTGTTCTTCTCCCTATGAATCAAACTTTTCTTATTACAAATCCATTTTTCAAAACGCTTTTGTTTCATTAATAGGCTCATGATTCGACTTTGATCGGTATGGGCTGGTACCAAGATCAAGGAGGAAGTTATCTGATCAAAAGACCAACTTGTCATATAACGATGGTATTGAGAGTTATTTTAACCAACTAGTTTTAAAT